TTTACCATCTGATATATGTAATTCTAATGAGCGCTTTTCATCAGTTTGATGGCAAATGTGTTTACACTATCGTTTGCAGGCTAGTTTGTCCGGTTTATTTATTGGGTATTGTAGGGCACAATCGTTATGGCGTCCTGACTGCTTGAGGGTAACATTTTAGAACAGCGTCTTGATTCCACGAGGTGTTCTTTGGTCGTGAAAGTGGTGATGAATGAATTTGATCCTGTTAGTTCGCTGCTTTTAGCTAGGCAGCAAATACGCCTTATAACACTTGCTCCGATACAAAGTTGGAATAAATACAAAAGTCCTACGCTGTGCAATAAATGTGTTGTTAAGTTTGAGGCGACCAACCAGTACCCTACTAAGCAAGGAGAAGTTGCTTTTCAAATCATGCAACTGTTGTTGTTCCGTAGTAGAAAAGACCCCGTACCTCACACAGTCTTTAAAGCTCTCCCGAACAACATTTTTAAGAATGTCGCAAGATTAATGTTTGACGCTCTGGTTATGAAGGATAGTTTAGAATTCGTTGAGATGTATAGATACACCGTAGTGAAAAGGCTGTCGGTTCAACCCAGACTGAAAGATTCTGCGTATTTAAGTGACAGACTGCATTATCTCAACGAGGAATATCTGAATCTAACATCCGACAGACGAATCCATGATACTGCCGATGGAATCGAAGAGGCGAGTTCTACAAAGCAATTTAGAAGAAAAAGATGCGATTGCTGAGACAGAAAGTATTTTGGTCGGACGTTTCGGATTCTCACTAGAACCCTTCATCAAACACAGTCGCAGATAAAGGAGACGGAGACACAATGAGTACAGAATTCATAGGACACATTTGTCACGGGAGCACATGCCTACTATAATTAGCAGTGCTCACCCCTTCGCTTCCATTAGTGCCCACATTCATCGGTAGTGGTCGCATTTAGTGCGATGACTGTTTGTCAGGCCTCATTCGAGAAGTTAATTTTCAAAACGTAATAACAGTTGTGGATTCTTGGCATGCTAATTACTCGCATAGTAGGCCCACAATCATTGATATTTTCTGTGGTTCATGCCGTTCACCATGGATAATTTTGGCCCATGTAAGGTCTCAGCAGTAAATGTGGGGGCGCGAAGACATTGCGATTGTCGAAGGATTGAAAGCAAGAGACTCATGACTCAAGCAAGTTACGGTTCAGGTAACTATCCCTTGCGAAAAATTTGACCTAGTCAAAGTATAAAGCATGATCGGTCGAGGTAGGGGGATGCGCAGTTAAAAGTTTATGCCTCTATCTGGAAAAAATGAACCCTAAGGAGTAGAAGTGAATGCACAGCCTGAACAAATACTTTAATAAAGTTGGCTTAAGCTGTGAAAAGGACGGAAACCTCGTCCTGAAATTGTAAAAATGCTCAAAGAAAGACAATCTACAAGTGCAGCAAGATAGAGCTTTTGGGAATACATGTTGGGTTGCACTGAATGGGTGGATTTCCGTAAATGACATATATCTTTATCTTTAACCAAGAACCTTGAGAACTTCCAAGCTGGTTAAGGAGCAGTGTTGGCCGAAAATCGTTCAGGACTCTAAAGCGGTCGTTCCTTCTGAGCGACAGGATGTGTGCTCTCTTCCACAAACTTGGAAGTTCTTTTCCTTCAAGATTAGGATCGACTATTCTGCAAAGGAGGAAGAAAAGTATCACTTGAGTCGGACTCGAAGGTTCTGATGAAAACAGCGTAGGAACTGGGATCAGTTCGAAACTGGACATTTTGAAGTGGTTTGCTTAACCCTTAAATAACTTTCTCGGAAAAGTGACATAAAACTATGGGCGGTCATTTTTGTAGTGGTATTAAAATTTTCGCATTTACCTTTGGGGGGAGGTGTGTGAATGAATTTCGTGAAGATCTCTCATTTCGTGCGGGTAAATATATTGGAGTACTTGCTGGTGTATTTTCGTGGAAATTGACCCTGCGCGCGAAGCGTGTTTCTTCTTACAGAATCATTGTTAACACAATAATACCGTGAAATATGGACGAAACACATTTTGTAGGACAGGCTGATCGAAATTCGACCAAGAATCGATTATTTCTAGGCACACATGATACTGACTTCGGCGTCGATTATGGAAGCACACCCACGCCTTTTAAGTTTGCCTGGCGATAACAGTGACAGACACAAGTGGCACCTGAGATGTCAACCGTTGCCCCCTACGTCGTCCATCGTGTGCCCCACGGAGTAGGCGCGACATGGATGATTTGCGCATGAATTATTTTGTAGTGAGGCAGACTTTGACGACATATACACCACTTCTATTCTTGCTCACCTGTCAGGCTCGGATGACAAGGCAGTGTCAGGTCGGCCGATGGCGTGCGCGGAGGCAGTGGAGAGTAAGGCTAAATCGCCTGTTTCCGCTTGTCACACGTGACATTGTTTTCACGCCATGTACTAGATTTTTGCAAAATGTTGGAAGTCTCTGATCTGACTTGTGTGAGAGTGCCAGTGGGACCACCTTAGGAGGAAATCGTTGAGCATGACTTTCAGCCGTTCAGCGCGTCACTCCACATACACGCCCATTACTGACCGCGCGAATCCAGACATACAACCAGTTAGCAGCCTTCTGAGTCGCGACTTTTACTGATAGATTCGAGTGCGCCAGGTTTATTATAGTGGGGAATGTGTTGGTTTGCTCTAATGATGAATTCCCCAGAGTCGACCTCGATCTCGCTTCCATTTTACATTCATTAATTGTTCATTCGATTTTTTCAAACAGGGGGTACTGGGATTGGGCGTATTGACTGCTGGAGACTGTCTACCTGTTCCTTAAATGAGCTAATCACCTTATTTACAAGGATACACCAAAGAACGTGTATGTAAAATGTGCGTGTCCTGGCATCTGACGTTGTGCCGGCCATAACGACGGTGGAAAATCAGATCACATACCTGCTGTATGGAAGTGGAAAGCTTTTATTACGGGGTGTGGCACGTGCTTTGTAGGGTTTCTATAAAAATCCTAATGTGCGCGTCGGCAGGTAGGGCAGGGTGTGATCTTGGTGTCTGGGGTGCAGTTTTGTCGAAGATTTGTACGGAAGCGCATATGGTCAGTAGGTCCATGCGATGACCAAACGTCTTTGGACAGTTTAGGCTGATACGACGAATGAATACTCAGGCTCCTGGCCAGTCTCAGTGGGATGAATTAACAAATGACCGACCAGGCCGATGCGTGACGCAAGTGCCGGGGAGATAAGAACAGGGTGGGATTGCGGCCACCGAGCTTTTGATGAAGACGCTGCTATAAGTGGTGTCAACGCTGGTCATAGTGCATGCAGGGGAGCTTGGGGAATGCATGTATGTCGAGGAAGGAAGCACACAATGCAATGGTGACAGGTCCCTCATACGGGTGTTGGCCGCTCCATCTGGCCATTATCCGGCACCCAGCACTCATATGTGGCTCCCTGAAATCAGGGCCGACCAGCGACTGCACGACGCTGCCCGCCCCGACGGGTGGGTTAAACCACTTAAAGGTATCCGGTGTGTGACCCTATAGCCGATAGTCTTGTTCCCTACCCACTCATTCCCCCCAATTCCACTTAGAAATAGCCTACAGAAATGGCGGCATACAAGCCCGTAGGCAACCCGGGTTCGCGTGGGCCTCCGACCTGGCAAGATCATGACCCATATTTCGGTTCGACAGCCGTGTAGGATGTTTAAGGCAGCCCTTATTAGGGACAACTCTGCTTACTCCATCAAGGAGATAAGATGCGGAAAATATGCCCTAGACAAATGCTGGGAAATTACAATGTCTACGAGCTTAGCATGGCGTCTGCACGCAAAAGAAGGGGTCGAAGAACAAAACGAAATCAAACCCCTCTCCATTCCCCCTGCTCCATCCCACAGGCTGACAGAATGATCCTATTCACTCTGGCAGCCAGGGATGACCGTTCCCTTTTTAGACAGTCCGCAAAACGGCGGGCCGGAATGGAGAACAAGGCAAGTCGATCGAGGACTGTCGTGCTACAAGATGGACATTTTTGATCTCGGTGAGACCCTGTTCCACGGACGGGGTCGGTTAAAGGATGTTGGTGCTGCCGCCCAAAGGCGGAACGTCGTGAGTCTTGCGTCGACTTCACCATCTGGACGACCTACCTTCTGCCGCATGGCATCAACCCAATTTGCCTGCGATGTTAGCTTTTGCATTCCTTTCCTAATGACCAGCTTCGACGGGGGAAAAACATGTCCTACCACGACCTGCACCCACCCCTAATGACTGTGTCGAAAATAGACAAACTGGCTGTAATTGTGACTTCAATACCCGCGTCCGAGCAGACCATTTTGTCTGGGAGGGAGTGCTGGGTCTCCATGGTATCGGATACTGCGACATAGACCCTAATCCGCAGATCCGGGGAGAACATCACCTACCCCTGACCGATGACTTTTGACGAAGAAGGTGGCAACCTGGATGCATCTTCCCTCTCGGGGCTGGCAGCTGCCTCACTACGTTCTCGTCCGAAGGCGAGACGGCCATCATGTGCTGGTGACAAAGGCGAGTTTCGGCGCCGGCGGCGGCTGAAAGGACTATCGCCTCGTCACTTTCTCAAACTTGGTCTCGAATATAACCCCGCAGGGGATCACGAGGCAAATTAGACACTCCTAGTCACCGCTGAGATCTCAGCTATCACGGCCACCGTCTGGGAGAAATTCAAGTTGCAGAGGACAAAGTCACTGTGGAGACGCAATAACGCCAATTGCGGAGCGCTACCCATACAACCGCCATGGATGTATTGGGTCACGCGCGCCGACAATATCAGCCATGTTTCGACGACAGCTACGAAGACATCCTAAAGTTGCAATCCCAGACGATTAGACCTACATCGAACTCGGGATTGACGTAAACAAAATAACCATCGTTTGCTCTTGGCACCTGTTGCACCAACGCCTGTGGGTACGCAGAATTCTCGAATGTTGAATATTTAAGACCATGCGGGTCATACCCTGATGTCCGGCATGGAGCTCCCGCAAAACTTACTGCTGATATCTGGCTGAAATCACCACTTTACCATCGCACATTATGCAGTCTTCCGTGATATACAACTGTTCCTTTCTGTTCCTGAAAGGCTTTATCGATGGGTGTACTTTGTCGTCGCTGAGCCAACCGTTCCGAGTAGACTCTTTCACCTGGCGCAAAAGTGGGTCTGCTGCAGTGGTGGCCCTGATGTGCTCGGCTGTGAGCGGCAACTGTCGGATGACACCTCTAAACTTGTCATCATCTTGCATTAGCGTACTTGCGACAACCATGTCCCCTTGATTTTCGTTGCCTGTACTCAGTCGTGATAAAGCGTCCGGAACTCCAAACTTCTGAGTGGACACATATTGGATCTGAAAGGCATAGTTTTGAAGAATAGTACTCCAGCGTTGTATTCTCCTAGCTATGTTCTGGGGAACACCACGGTTAGCACCCCAAAGGAACTTTAGTGGTTGATGATCAGTGTGCAGTGTGAAGGGTCTGCCATAAATGAACAGATGAAATCTCTGTACGGCGAAGATAATGGCCAGTGCCTCCTTTTCAATCTGGCTATAATTCCGTTCTGCCTTCGTCAGTGACCTGGCGGCATGCATGATGGGCTGGACTCTCCCATCTGCGTCCTTCTGAAGGAGCACTCCGCCTAAGCCGTAATCAGAGGCGTCTGCCTGGACAATGGTTTCTTTGTCAGCCTCGAAGCGCGATAGCATAGTTGAGTCGCATATCTTTGTCTTTATGGCATCAAATGCGTTTTGACATTCTGGTGACCAAATAAACTCCACGTCCTTGCACAGAAGTCGTCTGAGTGGAGGTTTTAAACTGTGCAACCCAGTGATGAAGGGACTCTTGTAGCTGACCAACCCCATAAACGATCGCAGCTCCTTCGTGTTCTTCGGCACTTTCATGTTCAGGAATGCCTTCACCCTCTCTGGGTCAGGTGCACGCCCATTATCGTTGACAATGAATCCGAGGTAGTGGATCTCCTTCCGCAAAAATTCACTTTTCTCCATATTGATCTTAAGGCCGTAGTCGAGCAGATTGTCCACAACCTGGTCCAGCCTTTGAGTCAGCTCTTCCTCTGAGCTACCAACAACCAAAATATCGTCCAGATATGCAATAGTCCCGGGAACATTCGTAAGCATTGCGCGCATGATCTGCTGGAACAAACTGGGTGCCGTTTTCACGCCGTAGTTTAGACGAGTATATCTGAAGAGACCCTTATGCGTATTTATGGTCAAAAGTTTCTGTGATTTCTCGCCCACCTCAATTTGCAAGTAAGCTTCGGATAGATAGATCCTTGCAAAGACTTTCCCTCCATTGAGAGTAGCAAAAATCTGCTCTAAGGTTGGCAGCGGGTAATTATAATCTTCTAGTGCGTCATTCAGGACCGTTGAATAATCCACTCATAATCGTATTTGTCCGTTGGGTTTCTTCACTGCCACGACTGGAGCAGCCCAAGCTGAATAATTGGTAGGATAGATTATGCCCTTTGTCTGTAGTCTTTCTAGTTCAGCTTCTACGGACGACTGCACCGCAAACGGGACTCGTCGGCTCTGCTTGAAGACTGGCTTTTTCTCCGGCTTCACTTTCAAACTTATCTTCGTCTTCGTGTACCTGCCGACCGCGTTCTCCATGCGTTCCATACACTAATTCTTCAGGACCTCCTCAGTAGTGTTGTGCACCGCGCTGCAAATTTCGTCAAAGAGACAGTTCCACAATGCCAGTTCGGAGATCGTCTTATTTCCGTGAAGATTGTTACGGGTCTTCGACACATAGACATCTGCGAGGCACGCCATCTTTCGAAAACTGACAGTCGCCTGGAAAGCACCTTCAAATTCCATACGCGTCTGGTTCGACGCCCACGCTATGATCTCTGATGGTCTCAGTTCTGGAGAACCGATGTCCTCCCATGTTCGCATGCTGATTATGGTTAGATCAGAAGCTGTGTCTACTTGTAATGTGGTCGGCTTTTCGTTAATATTCACTGTCAGGTATTTCCGGTGTTCACAGTTGAGTACATGCGAATCGTCTTCTAAAACGACATGGCAATTCTTTCTTGGGCTAGTGTGCGCTGCTCTGCATTGTGAAGCTTTATGGCCAACACGGGAACATTTTTAGCACTTCCTAATACGATAGGGACATTCACTCACGTAGTGCCAGCCGCCGAACAATCAACAAGCCGTCTTTGGCTTCCGTGGAGAAACTCTATTCGGTTGTGATTGTCTCGATTTTGTGTCAAAAACGTAAGCTGGCTGACTATTTGTGCTTCCAATAAGCCGGGTATCTTGCTTGATATTTGTGATTCGGACACATTCCTCCGCCAGGTCCTGTACTGTCATATCGCCTTTCTGGTCTAGCTGGGCGAGTAACCGCGTGCACACATCTGCATCTTCTCGCGACGTCAACGACTTAATGAAAAATAATGCTTTAATCTGTGGGCTGGTGGCCTGTTCTAGCTCGGCTTGCTGAAAAGTATACCTAACTCGACCGGCCAAGTCAAAATAGTCTTCTTCAGGCTTACGTTCTAACTTGAAACATTCATAACGTCGATTGAATAACGACTTTGTAAAACAGAGCAATGCTTCCAAATGCTTGACCGTGTCCTTAAACGAGACATCTGGTGGTTTCTGAGGCAGAATGAACATTACGTACCGCTCGTGTTCCCGCTGGGCCAGTTTTAGCAGAATGATTTCCACTTTCGTCTTGTCGTCCAGTTCTGCTCCCTCCTTTTCGAACAGTCCTTCGTACTTTCGAAACCAGGCTTCGAAATTCACTCCTCCCTCTGGATCGTAAACGAACTCGGTGATCCGTTGTTCGATCTGTTTCCTCTTGTTCTCTCTGGATGCCGGTCCCCAATTCCGCTGCATTTCCGTGAGTAGTGCCATGAAGCTGGCCTGCAGGGCCTCCAGTATGTGTTTCATTTGTTCTTCTGATATCATTTTGCTGCACCTGCGCCGCCAGTTGTTATGACCCGGAAGGATGGTAGGACAGGAAGAGAGCCGGTTCGGTGGACAAGCACTTTATTGGAACTTGCGGACAGGAGGGGTTTACAACTCGTAAGAAAGGTGTGCTATTTATATTGGCTCCCGTGCGTTCTGGAACATTCCGTCCAATGACGTGCCAGCCGTTGAGGGCGTTCCAGAATGTTTCTGCCCCGAGATTGCTGGTCGCTGATTGGCCACCGCGTGTGCGATAGCCCCCCGGCGGAAACGTCTGGAATGTTCGGCCATCCAGTGATTGGACCGCACACGTGAGCAAAGCCACCGCGCGTGCTCGGCGCTGCAGTGCGCACCGGTCGGTCGAGGACGGTCTACGGCCACCCAGCCGAACAAACATTTCCGGTTCTCAACTCCGGCGGAACATCACTCCTTACGAATAACTAGCAAATTGTGAACTGCGGACCGAGAACTTCGGAATGGCTTTCAACCGCCCATCCGTACTCTCCGAAGACACAATCAACAGACTCCTCCCGGGTGACAATTCGCAACGGCCTGAACTTCCCGCTTTCTCTCGCAGAAACAATCAGAGCTATGTAACAAGTTTTCGGTGTGAAAACAGCGGTATACAACGCGATCCCCGTCGTCGTCTATAAGCATGTGGATTCTGAATTATGAACAAACTTACAGCCATATTCCAAGAATGTGGCGGCAGGGACTACTTCCTCAGGACCTCGCGGAGACGGCAATCGTCCATCACTACAAGCGGAAAAGGAAACAGGTGAGCCTGTGATAAGCACAGAAAAATCTGTCTGCTCAGTATTTCCGGGAACATCTTTGCAACCGTTTTTCTCAATCATCTTAGCGACCATCTGGATCACGGACATCTCCCAGAAAGCCAGCGTGGCCTCCGATGACGTTACGGAACCACCAACATGGTCCTCGTCGACCGGCAACGATAAACGTCAGGAAATGCATACGAATCTTTACACTATCTTCAAGGACCTGGAGAAGACTTTTCAACACAGAAACTTGTGATAAACTCTCGAAAATCATAAGAAATGTGTATGTCCTGAACAATACGCGCGCATGATGCCTCAGCTCTACGATAGACTGATGACACGCACCACGGAAAGCGGGACAATCTCAGAAGCATTAATGTTGACGGATGAAGTGAATCAGGGCCGAGCACCCGCTTTCACCTTCTTCAGTCGCATGTTCTGTGTCATGCCGATGGACGCCTATCGTGAGAAGCACCGTGGGATCAGAATCGTCCACAGTACCTTCGAACAATTTCTCAACATTCGACGAATGCAAGCGTCCACGCGAGCTTCAGCATCCACTGTCCATGAACCCCTCTTCATGCATGACTGTACAGTCAATGTCCCGACGGAGACAGTTGTGAAAAGTACCATGCACCTCTTCGCCTTCGACTGCTCTAACTTAAAGTTTGCAATCAACAAAAAACGGCGATCGTACACTAGTCTTTACCCAATGCTGAATACAGTTAGCGTCGTATCACGGCCAAAGGCACCCCAATCCAAACAGTGGAAAAGTTCGCACAGCACACTCTTACGCAACACCAAAATCGGTGACGAAATGACTCATCGGATGTCTGAAGTCAGCCAAGCCTTTGGTCGACTGCAAGCCTCCGTGTGGGGATGTGCAAAGTTGTCATCTTAACAGCACTGCTTTATGCAGCGGAGACCTGGACAGACTATAAGGAACAAGCTGGATAACGGAACCACTTCCACCTCAACTGTTTCCGAATAATGCTGCAGTTAAAATGGCAAGGCAGGATTCCAGATAACGAAGTAATTGAAGGAACCCGAACCATCAGCAGTCATGCCCTGTTGAGGCAAGTTAATCTGCACTAGGGTTGTCGCTTCACGAGGATGGACGACGAGTACATACCCAAGCGACTCTTCTACGACGATGCGGCTACGGATGCTTGCCGACAAGAAAGACGAAAAGACGCTACAGGGACACCTTGAAGAATGCCCTCAAGCATCTTTAAGCCATTCCAGAGTCCTGGTTTGACCTTGCCCAGGATCACTCGGTCGGGAGGAGAACGTTTAAGACAGAAGCAACAATCTACGATAGCTGCAATATCGACACGCCAAGCACACAGTGGACACCTGAAAACTCTCCTGTCTCCAGCACTACCAATTGGCCCTTAACCAGGGCGGCCGCCACTGATAGGATCACCATCACAACCGACTCTAAGACCTTCAAACCATCCTGTCCCCATTGCCACCGCACATGTGAAAATCACCCATCGGTCTGGTCTTCCTCGGTCTTCCTAACGAATACGCCAATGCTGTCCTGGAGGATGGGGAAATTTTCACCGTAAAAAGCTTTCCTAGTAGATAAACCGGACCCATGCCTTGACTCGAGAATATTTTCAAGGCCCCTAGAAGTTATTTAAGAAAACGAAACCGAGTCAGTGCTTTTATTAAAAGGAAAAATGGTCTCACGAAGAGCGCATGAAGAAGCGTCTTTTCAGCTGGACTACAAACGGTGGGAAAGACTGAAAAGATTACTGAGGACAGAAATAAGAAGTAGGACTGGCAGAGGGAGGAAGGATTAAAAAACAAATATTTTCACGTAGTTCAGACCAAGGGGATTTCCCTCTGGTCAAAACCTGCCACAATGAAGGCTGGACCTCTCCGACCAAACGGCCAAATATGCAAAACCTGGTCAACAAACTGAATGAACCAAGAAAGGTAGTATATAAAATTAAACAAAAACTTGTGGCTGTCACAGAAGCGTGACTTTCTGCAGGTATTTCAGATTCAGAAATATCACTCAGAAAATATCAACAATTCAAGGGAGATGGACCAAGCCGAGGAAGAGGAGTCATCATTTACATATTTCGTTTGCAAGCAGTCTGGTACGGCTTAGTTAAACACTCCTGTATAGGACGTGGAAGTATTAAGCATCAGCATATCTGTAAAGTACGTTCGACCATTGACACGTTCAGTGGCGCGCCGCTCGAATAGCCAAACTTCTGACCATTATCTTATACTCATGACCGAACTGTACAAAGCCTATTATAAGAAGGATTATTTTTATCGTTGGCGATTGTAACGCTCCGTGTACTGATTGGCAAACATAGACTGCGCAGGGGCTGCCAGCTAATTTTAATCACAAACTACTACAATGACTGACAGATAAACTTCAGTGCCAGAAAGTTATCTTTGAAACACGAGCCAGGGAAGGACAACGGTCAAACTGTCTCGACCTTATTTTTACCCGAGAGAAGGAAAATGGATTACACCTGCAGGATCGACCGTCATCAGAGTCAAGTGATTACATTACGGTGTACTTCGAGTACTCGCTGTTTTTCTAACCAACTATGTCCAATAGGTGAGAAATCGTTTGGAATGAGGACCATCCACTGAAATGGAGAGAAGCGTCAGAGGTTAGGCGGGAAACAGAAATGTAAAGTGGAACAAATGACCATTGGAGGACATTCAGTTGACTACTGAAAAGGATTGTTTATCTCAACTGTCCTCTCGGAAGAAAGAGAATCACCAACTACCATAAAGAATAAACTTTAACTCGCATGTCTTTTTAAAGATATCTTTTAAAAGCGATACAGATTAACCAGCTCCGAATAGCGCTTTCGCGAGTATGAGCGGCAGTCCAAAATTCGTAAAAGTGCGGCTACCGAGATGCAAAGGAAGTATAAACTGAACATTATGCAAAACTCGTTGGAACGCCCATAAATTCTATGTTTAGACACTGAGTACTAAACGCTCGTAATAATTGACCTCAGCCCTTTGGACTGCAGACCGAAAACTGGAGACCGATGACCAGGCTAAAGCAGCCCTCTCTCTAAATTTCTTTCAGTCCGTCTTCACTTGAGACTCCGATTCTTCTTTTTGCTTCTTCACTTGTTCTCCAATCAGTCTATCCTTCTCCCCAACAGAGAAATTATACTAAGTATCGACCATAGTTTCGGCCGAATAGCTCCAGTTGAAGTCTGCCAAATAGCCTGATCTGGATAAAATTCCTACACTACTGTATGTAAAGTATGTCATGCCTCAAAAGTAATTTGAGGAAGACGAACCTCTAGGGGAATGGAAGTGTACATTTACCATCCCGATTCATGATGTTCACGACTTGACTGTGAAAATTATCGTCCTGTAAGTCAAACTTTCATCGCGCCTAAAATACCATAGAGCGCTATCAAAATCATTTAATGGGATATCTGGAAAGAACAAAATAATGTGTAAAATAAAAATGGCTTTCCCAAGTCCGCTCCAGCAGCATGAGTGTTTTTCACTCGTCTGAGAAAGACCACAGATACTGGTTACCCATAGTCATATTTTATGACTTTGAGAATGATTTGATAGCGTAACACACAGGTTTGGTTTACAAAAAATTTAAAATGCACGAAGTAGAAGAAGTATTTTCAAATGGTTTCGGACCTTAGTAGCAAGCGCATATCGCCTCGATAGCGGGTAGATAGATTTTCCAATATAAGTATATCGAGTGGGTAACGTTTTTGTCCGGCGGTTGTATATCGAGTAGATATCGACTTTTTGATATACTCAAAAACCGACGGTATCAGCGCGGATTGCAAGTTCCACGACCCCTTTTCTCACGGAAATACCTGCGTTTTTTACTAATTCGACCTATATTGTTTCTGTCTGCCCTCCTCCTCCTCCTCCTCCTCCTAAATCATCTACCGTAGTCTTAGTTATAATGGCAAACGTATAACTAGCGCAAAGTACCCACTACGATCAAAAGTCGTATGAACTGGTCGATGTATATTTTAAAAAAATAGGTAAATAAATATGTACATTAGTAGTTGTTTTTCCATTGCTCTCTATTTAGGCTATACATCATTAAATTTGTCCAGCTGCTTGATGAAGATCCCGGTGTTGAATCTACATTAAAGGGTATTGTTTAATTAGTAATTGAGGAACACTTACCGCTGGTCTGGGTGCCGTTAATATTCTTTTGCATTTTTTTGAAAGACTATACAATGACCGTTTAAGTCGTTTTATAAGGAACACCTCCAGATCGATGAGATGCCTTACTGTCTCCATTCCAAATGCCAAGGACCTCTGTGGATAGAGCAGTCATCGATAATTAGTGGGAACCTACCCTTGATGACTCCAAACGTTGGCGAATCAAATAGCCCCCCTTTCATGTTCAGCCCTTTGAAGTTTAATTAGAGAATGATGTCATCCACAAACAGAGCATGAAACACTCTTTTTGTGAAGTCATCCAGAGAACGGCCGCCAAGGCAGGCCAGATAGGAGAACTAATAAACTCATTAATGAAATTTTCTCGTCTCTATCAATTGACTACGCACTTCACTGTCCGCAAGTCTCGCGTTTAGTGCCCGGAAATCCGCCCCAGTTCTTAAAGGGCTGCCTACGGCATTTATGGGAAGCCCAGTGGCAACCGTGGTATTGGTAGTCGGCCGTCGAGTAACAGCTGACTCCAAGTCCCGTTGGCCGCCCACCAGGCGGTGGATACCTTCCAAGATTAAATCCTGTATTCGCGACACCCGTGCTAAATGTTGGCACATTACTTTAACAGTGTGCTCACGGTCAGCCATACGATCACTTAATGTAGGATCACGCCGCACTTCAGGTAACGTATAAGTTGCATTAGGTCTTACCTTCGGTGATGGTGTCCTCTGCGATAGGAAGTGTGTCGAAAGAGTTATCTCTATCACCACTCGGCTCAAGAGGTTCCTAAATTCGTTTATGTTAAATTTATCGTTTCTTACTGGCGATGATAGGCCTTCGCCGCTTAAATAATCTATAGATCTAGTGATAGCTGAACGTTAAGAGCGTTGCGCGAAAGTCTTCTCTCTGGTAGTCCACTCATGCTTCTCTCTACAAACGCACAGGAAAAATAGCGTTAGAGGTTGCATTAAGTAATTGGCCGCATTATAGCTAAAAACCACTTCTTCCCTGCAATGCTCGTGAACCCCTAACTAAGGGGGCTGGGCGGTTGTAGGACTTGTGGGCACCGTTCGCGAACACGAAGGGACAGTAAGTGGTCTTTTATGACTTGTTAATTATTTCACTTAAAATTACACTTGTCTCCTGTTAAACGCATACGCACTTCGTAAACGTCTTCGGTAATGGAGCACACTGGAGATTTGTATCCATGCTCGCCTTATACACTTTTAAAAGTAATAACGGCCTAAGTTAGTCGAAGTAATCACTCATGTTTGTAAATTCACAGAAAACTATGCTCAGACAGTATGTTCTTCACACATACTATCTGTTCGCTTACACCAGTACATCTATTCGGAGTTTCCTTTGCTCCAGGGCACAGAGACATTGTTAATAATTTTATTTTGAAATGGGCAGATGTAGAAAGTGGTGTCCCATAGAGTTCTGACTTAGGTCCATTTTCGGTCTTAATTAATTTATGTAAATATCCACACCAGCGACAACATTAGAAGATGCAAAAAGGAACAAAGGTCTAGACACATGGACAACGACAAGTATACTGACGTCAGACAATGGGAGAAAGTGGTCCACATGGCAAATGGTACTTTGCCCTGGATCATATGTGCGCTTGACATATTTTCTTCCGACGTCTTCGGAAGACGCTTTGGCGTTTTTGTATGACACCACTTGGCATATCAAATGCCAGCAACGGCATCAGGAATGAGAAAAAATATTGAATTGCTCAACCAAGTGCAA